AGAAATCGAAACGAAGGGATTTAGGTCAAACCGATTTTAAACCAAAATACCTATACTATAATATGGAGAGTGTGCTTCCAATACCGAATGATGTTATCGCGGCGTCCACAAGCACGACTACGGTGGCAACGACAGCTACAACAACAAGGGCAATATCAACCACTACCGCAGCTCTACTGGACTAAAAGGCGAACAATAGATTGTAATGTATTTGGGTAATGTTGTAACGAACCAAGCAAACTGCAAGCACTGAACTATGAATAAATAAGTAATGAATGTAATAAAGACATATTTACATGCATACCTATTACTAAGTATGTTTTTAGATCTATTAGTAGATATATTTTAGCTTTAGACATAACTAATCCACAAATCGAAGGCTTTCGGTAGGAGAGCAATCTCAATTGTCTACTACCAGCAATTACTCCGGCGATTTCTAAATGGCAAGAGAGAGATAGTTCAAAAAACGTTATTAAATACTCTAGCCAAATAGCTAATAGAAAGTACATGNTGGTAGGGTGGATTATTTATTAACTTTGTATGCACTTCCTTGGTGTTTAATCTAACAACAGCTTTGCACTCACCAATGCGTTGGGCAGTTTTTCTATGTTGTACGTCTGCAGCACCATCACTTCGCTAGTGAACTTGCGCTTTTCCTTATCGTCGTACACCAAAAGTAATGACAATTCGTAATAAATTTTTCCAATATCCGTGGTACATGTGGTCGGGCATACGTCCGGTACACGAAAGTCAAACTCGTATTTGTATGTGCTAGGCAGCAATTGACCGCCTTGAAAAACGACCGTCTCAATTTCCATATAAGTCTCTTCGGCGGAATAAAGTTTCGGAAAGCGTGTCAATGTGTCTACCCATCTCACGGTGGCCATGCCTCGAAAGCCAATGCGTATGTCTGCGCAAACGACGCCATATACATATGTAAGAAGAGATATGTATGTTTTTAAATGTTATCACTTTTTTAATCACTTACCTTCAAATGATCTTTCTTTCAGTAAGGTGAGCTCTGCGGTACCCACTACTTTTTCGCCACACACGTACAGCGGAGGAT